GCTGAACAGACACCAAGTAAAGCCCCAGTAATGTGCATATGCCGTGGTTGTGCTTTCGCAAACAGTCTTGATGATGATGTTTATTATAAATTGATGGTATATGTTACTGTACTTACTGTAGCTTAACCTTTTTTCCCAGGACAAATGGCTACTGTTTTACTTTGGTGGAGGAAGAGGGAGGGGTACCAGTCCAGACTGCAGGATGCCTGGGACTGGTTGGGTCAGAGTTTCAGTGTAGGGTGAGAAGATGCCTGTAACATGTCATCTATAAGTGCCTTGATCATTTTAAGTGTTATTTGTATAAAAGAAAAGTGTCAGTTTGACCCATATCCACATAACCTCTCCATTTACTGTACCATTTTGTACTGTATGTTCTATCTCAGATCTTTAAAAATTTACCATATGCAGGTGGTAATGAAATAAATAGATCTTAAATACATATTTCTTGATTGATAAACATGGAAATGTAGGATTTCTCACATTTGATAAATTAGAACCAGCAAATGTTTGTGCATGTCAGTGTTTTTGCTTGATGATTATTTTAGTACTAATTTAAACAGTTAACCAGACAAAGGAAAACAATTCACTTCTCTGTCTTCCAGGACACAGGGAACTCAGTTCAAAGAAGATCGCTAGAGTGCTGTACAGACCAAGATTTCTGCAACAAAGACCTGCATCCTACACTGCCGCCACTCAAACCACCTCGTAAGTTTGTGTATCTGCTCTCATCCCTCTGCAAGTCTTTCCAGCCCATGAACCACAAGAATGAATTTAAATTCACTTATTGTCCAGTTGGCAGGTGAGAGTGTAACAGTGTGGTGGTGACAATGATATACTGTAGACAGGGCCAAGAACTGGTTTTACAGCACCCAGGATTCAGAGATAGAGATATCGTGACTCAAGTAGGGGACACAGTGGGACTTCTCTCTTGCATAGAGTTTGGCGGAGCTACTGGGCATCAAGAGAACATATGGGTCTTCACTGTGCACAGCACTAATACTCAATGTGTGAGTATGAGTCTTTGTGTATTTGAGAGAGTAAGCCTAGATTCCCGAGGAAATCACAAGCCCCAACAGATGCTCAGGGCAGAGTCATCAATCTCAAACCCTATTGTAGAGGATCAGGAAGAGAATTCTTGGACTAAGCTGAGGGCTTCCTCTCACTGTTGACCTGGGCCTTGAGGGAAAAGAGAGAAAATGAAAAAATGATGAGTGAAATATGATTTGTACTTGGTCTACTGTACGCCGGTTCTTTCAAGTGCCTGGCAAGACTGACTGATTTGGTATAATTTTCTCCATTTCTTTCTTTTCCTTTTTTTTATTATTATTATGGATATCACAGATACATTTATTTATTCTTTCAGCTTACATGTCTTGAACAAAAAAAAAAGATCTTTTACGTTTTTACAAGAGGGCCCAGGTGTTTCATATTAATCACATTTTCGCCATTATAATAGAGAAAATATATATACAGTATAGTTTATTTTGTTTTTTTGACATTTTTCATATTCCTACATACTGTTAACCTTCCCTGCTCTTGTATTTGTCTCTAGTCTATGTAGATGGAAAGATCCACCACATGGCCTTGTTGGTCTCAGTCACTATTTGCAGCATTATATTGGCTGCCATTGTTGTCTTCTGCTACTTCAGGTAAATATACCTAACTTTTAAACAGTCAAACACAGACCCATACTTATTATTTTACAGCACCACTCTTTGGGTGCCCTCTGATTTTAATATACATGGGTGTACACTGCAGTGCATATTTTCTTTCTAAAGTATTATGCTACTTTTCTAAAAATGTGTGTTGTGAATATTTCTGTATTACAGGTATAAGCGTCAGGAGTCTCGTCCTCGCTACAGTATTGGCCTGGAACAGGAGGAGACCTACATTCCCCCTGGAGAATCTCTGAAGGACCTCATAGAGCAGTCACAAAGCTCTGGCTCAGGCTCAGGGCTCCCTCTTTTGGTGAGCTACCCACATTGCAGCCACAAGCTTCTCAATTGATCCCCTGTATGCACACATTCTGAAAAATAAAACCCTACTGGTGAGATTTTGTCACATGAGATAAAAGTTATGCATTTCATACCCACAGGATTTTTGACAATTGTTTTAGTGGCATTTTCTATTTTGGAAAACTAGCATGCCAGGAAGCAATGAAAAGAGACATTTGTGATTATGTTGGGTTGCTCCTACTGTATATCCATCTGAGGGTCACTAACTCTTACACTGGGGGTTTATTTCTATCTAAAACGTAGGGTAGTAAATGTGCTGAAACCCAGAAAAACTTTAGGACAGATGCTGTAATGTAAGGCTAAGCTTTATCTAAACTGTTTGTCTTTTGCTCCTCCTCAGGTCCAGAGAACGATAGCCAAGCAGATTCAGATGGTGAAGCAGATTGGCAAGGGGAGGTATGGAGAGGTGTGGATGGGCAGGTGGAGGGGAGAAAAAGTGGCTGTTAAAGTTTTCTTCACCACTGAGGAGGCCAGTTGGTTCAGAGAGACTGAAATCTACCAGACTGTCTTAATGAGACATGAGAACATACTGGGTAATATTAGTTTCTCTCTTTGGTCACCATGCCATTCTGTCCCTTGGCATTACTTCCTATAAACCTGTTTACTTTTTGTTACTGATTTATGTAGCCTCTGCTTCTAATTGTTTATTTCTATTTCTATGCACATCTGTCTACTTGTCTTTTCCTTTACTTTTTTTCACTTCATCCCAGTTAAAAGGTTCCAACAGGGGTTTGAAAGGACCGCTGATGAAAGAGTCTTTCTGATATAGTAGCAGTAAATCCTCATGTATGGACTAGCAGATGGATGAATTAGGTTTGGTTAAATATATGGATGAATTTGGTGTATTGATTATCATTAATAATAGATGGATTTTATGTCTCGGCTTTTTAGCAAAAAAGTTTAAAAAAGACCAACTTTCCAAAGTTAGTTGGACTCTGTCCATTAAGCTACACAACACTGCACTAAATGCCAAAACAGATCAATTATAGCCAAGAGACCATACACCACAACCAATTATAAGCTAGACAACAACAGACTGCAAACTAAAGCTGGCATAATTAAACACCACAAGATGCATAGTAATTAAGTAGTGGGGCAAAAGATCACCTGCCAGTAAACTAGAAGACAGACTAGATGCTGTAGTGAATAATGCTGCCTTCCACAGTCCACACTGCAGGTTTTATTTTAAATTTAAGATCTATAATACAAATTGGATGTTGCCTAATCCACCAAAGCATGTAAAGCGGGATGAGCTAATGCTTGGCTTCCTAAAATGAAGGTTAAACTGCAAAAGCTATATTTAAATGTTTCTTATTTTTTAAAATTAGTTTTCATCTTAATCTCTTACTGGGTTCATTATTATTTTTATGTATTAGTCGCAAAGTGTTTTAATTTTTACATTTAGACTGGCTTATTTTCCATGAAGTGCTTTGAAACCTAGCAACCTGCATGAAAAATTCTGTAAAAATACAGTAACTGATTTCTAAGCAAGTGAGATGATATTTAGATTTAAGAATCTGGTCTGACTTGTTTTTAGCATGGAGTATATAGTGCCAACTATACAAAGCTACTTAACTTAATTCAAGCGAGTTGCACTTTCTTGTCTGAATGAGTCATTTTATCTTATTTGGGCTTATTTTTTATCTTTTCAGAAGAAATGCCTGATACAGATCCTCCAGTATGATATAACACTAATTTTAAAGGTTTCAAGATGAAAACATTTCAATTTAAATTGTAGTCTTATGGCTTGCATGAGGGGCCCATATAAACAACTTGTTCTTGGGACAAAATATCTTATGTACAGTGGGTACGGAAAGTATTCAGACCCCCTTAAATTTTTCACTCTTTGTTATATTGCAGCCATATGCTAAAATCATTTAAGTTCATTTTTTCCTCATTAATGTACACACAGCACCCCATATTGACAGAAAAACACAGAATGTTTGACATTTTTGCAGATTTATTAAAAAAGAAAAACTGAAATATCACATGGTCATAAGTATTCAGACCCTTTGCTGTGACACTCATATATTTAACTTAGGTGCTGTCCATTTCTGCTGATCATCCCTGAGATGGTTCTACACCTTCATTTGAGTCCAACTGTGTTTGATTATACTGATTGGACGTGATTAGGAAAGCCACACACCTGTCTATATAAGACCCTACAGCTCACAGTGCATGTCAGAGCAAATGAGAATCATGAGGTCAAAGGAACTGCCTGAAGAGCTCAGAGACAGAATTGTGGCAAGGCACAGATCTGGCCAAGGTTACAAAAAAATTTCTGCTGCACTTAAGGTTCCTAAGAGCACAGTGGCCTCCATAATCCTTAAATGGAAGACGTTTGGGACGACCAGAACCCTTCCTAGAGCTGGCCGTCCGGCCAAACTGAGCTATCGGGGGAGAAGAGCCTTGGTGAGAGAGGTACAGAAGAACCCAAAGATGACTGTAGCTGAGCTCCAGAGATGCAGTC